TTAACAGCTTCACAGCCCCAAACAGGGCTGCTGGTCCTGTAGACAGGGCATGAGTGCATGGGGCATGAACTAGCTGTGAGATCAGAAACTGCAACACGGAGGGGGGCCAAAGAGATCACATAAAGGAGCAAACAGACAAGATCTGAGAAAATCAGAGTCGTCTTGGACTATTATTTATTTTTCAGGTAAAATTACTTCTTTACTAGGAAAAACAACAAAACAGCATCAAGGTAGCAATGAAAGGCTGCTGACATCGGCAGCAGTCTATGCAAGACTCACAACGGAGGCTGCTATGGATCAAAATCAACTCCATGGTGTGAGCTGGCCTTGGGATTTTTGGATCGACAGCCTGATAGAGGTCAAGGTGATGACAACGTTGAGGTCCCGGGATAATTGATTACGAGTAACTACTTGGCTGTGGACTCCATTCTGATTCACGGCGACAGACCTCATGAGTCAGAGTAGAACTGTGCCCCTTGGGGTTTCCATGGGGACTTTCAAGAGGTAGAGCCTCAGGGATTCCGAGGAAACTACGGTGCACAGGACCCTCTAAGCACTTGCTGCCAGACTGAAAACACACTGCGGTCAGGTCAATTCCAACGTAGAGGGACCCAAGGCAGACTACCACTGCCCTGTTGAGTTTCCGAGGCTGTAAATGCTTGATGGGAGCAGAAGGCCTCACCTTCCTCTCTCCGAGCGGCTGGCAGGTTCCAACTGTTGACCTTCTGGTCACCAGCCGAGATCATAACCCATAATATCATCAGGGCTCTTTTGCACCACCCAGGGCCTCCCAGTTGAATAATCTTGCACTTGTATTAAGGAGCCCTGCTGTGTGCAGATGCCACACCCTTGCTTGCTGAAAGTGAGGAGGATTTGAAGCACTTGCTGATGAAGATCCAGGATGGCAGCCTTCACTACGGATCACAACTCAAAGTAAAGACCAACATCCTCACAACTGGACCAGTAGGTAACACCATGATAAATGGAGAAAAGATTGAAGTTGTCAAGGATTTCATCTTGCTTAGGTCCACGATCAATGCTCATGCAACCAAGACATCAAAGGACACATTGTATTGGGTAAATATGATGCACAAGCCTTCTTTAAAGTGTTGAAAAGCAAAGAGGTTACTTTGAGGACTAAGGTTAGTCTCACCCAAGCCACTTTCAACGACCTCCGTCCAATGCATGTACAAGGTGGACACTGAGTAAGGAAGACCAAAGCAGAACCGATGCATTTGAATGATGGTGCCGGTAAAAAAGATGGAAAGCACCATGGACAGCCAAAGGACAAACACACCTGTCCTGGAAGAAGGACAGACAGAAGACTTCTCAGAGACCTGGATGGCAAGCCTTGGTATCACGTACTTTGAACATGTCATCAAGAGAGGCCAGTCCCCGGAGAAGAACACCATGCTTGGTAAGGCAGAGGGGCAGTGACCGAGAGTCAGTGAGGTGGATGGACACAGTGGCTGCAACGATGGGCTCAAACATAAGCGCGATTGTGAGGATGGTTTAGGACCAGGTGGAGTTTCCTTCCGTTGTATATTGAGTGTCTGTGTGTTGGATCCGACTGGGCAGCACCTAATCACAATAACAACATATCTTATCCTGCCACCTTCTCTTACAACCAGGATCAAGTGTTCTTGGATTCCATCATGACGTTCTAAGCTGTGATCCTCAACAGCAGAGTCTCCTGGACCAAGGTCTCACTGCATTTAGGGCCACTCGTATTTACCATACTAACCCCTGCTTAGATGCATTGTCAAATGCTGCACTGATAGGATGATGACATTGGTATTCATCATTTACTATTCTAAGTTGACATCAAAATTTTATCACTCTCATATTTATCCTTTTTTAAATAAAAAATTTAATTAAAAATTTTTAAATTAAATTATTTAAAATTTATCATTTTGATGTACCGTAATGTTGCTCTTTTGTAGGAATGAGCTAGGGAGCTAGTGGACCAATCTGAATTTTCACTTAAATTTCTTCATTTCATCAGGACTTTAGTGGTCCTGACTTATTCTCTCTTAAGGAGCTCTAGTGGCACTGGGGGCTAGATGTTGGGCCGATAACCTCAAGGTCTAGGGTTCAAGCCCACAGCAGTTCTTCAGGAAAAAGCTGAGGCTGTTATTATTGTTATCTTAGTATATATGACATTGCCCAGTACTCAAGTGGCTGGTTTTTTAATCTCTTTTTAATATAACCATGTTTGCTTAGGAGCCGAGAGAACCCTGGTATTTTAACTGAGTTTGATTGTATTCAGGGGATGGGAAAAGTTGCTGGGCTTCAGACATTGCCAAAAATGCCCGCAGGTTTAATTTTCAGTCCCTGAGCAAGCCATTGATTAAGAACCCTTGTGGGAAAACGTGCATGCATACACATAGCTTAGGGTTGAATGTTTGGCTTCCCTTCTTCATTGTCTCACTCGGACATCAGTCATGCAAGCAGGCATGTGCATGCATGTGCATACATGCAGAGACACATGGACATGCAGGAGAAGAAAACCCCATGACGCAAACCAAAGCAAAGACCCATTCTCATGGAACTATTCCAGGGTTCAAAGATGACAGGTGACCAGAGCACGGGCAAGCATGCTTGGCTATGTATACACATTATTGCTATTTTATTATTAAAGACAATGCCTGCCAATCAGGTTACTCTCATCACAAATCAACTCTGAGAAGACGCAGCGCTATTGTGTCGGTTGGAATTGGGAGACTTCACAACTCACAACTCTGGGATGAGTGTCATTTCAGCACTGTGTGTCAAAGTGGGGGTGAACATTACCCATGTTGTTGAATGGTGCAACTTGGTTTATGGGGCTAAGAAAAGACTCTCCTACTACCCTTGAGTTGATTCTGCATCATAGCGAGATGAAACATTTCGAGCAACAAATACCCTCATCTTTTTCCTTTGAAGCCACGGATGGGTTTGAATCACCAAACTTGCAGTTGGCAATCCCAACGCTTACCCCACAGTGCCACCATGGCTCCTTGGGAGAAAACGTTCCGGAGAATAAAGAATTCTGCTGTTCTCCAGCTTACTGCCCTAGAATTTGGGTGGCTTAGCTCTGTCTAACAGGGACCCTTTGAAAAACACAAGGAAATCAAATGACTTTGACAAATCAGTAGCCATGGACAGAAGAAAAAATAAAGCAAAAAAAAAGGTCCGATGCTGAGACTACAAATATAATGTAAATATATCAATATGCTTGGAAGTATGCTATATTTATTTATAGAAGTCAAGAAAAGAGAATGAATACAATGATACCACTTATACAAAAAGCATATGTGCAATGCTTTGAATACTATAAAATGTGTTCACAAATGATGTGAGACAAATCTAAAATGCAAACTAAGTTCTAAACCATACTCGATACTAGTGAGTTCCTCTGAAGTAGCAAGCAGGGGGAGAGGTGGAAGGTGATGGCATCCAAAAGCACACTTTAGCTACGTCACTAATTCAATTTCTGTCTGCCTTTATTCTTCTTTCAATGACAATGTGTTTTCACACTGCCTGTGTAATTAAAATCTTAAGATGGGGAAATTCCATCCAATTTACTCTCATGACAAGAGTAAAATATCAGTTTCAAAAACAAAAACAAAAACCATCTCTTCCAGTCTCATATCTCAGTTCGACCAGTAGTATTGGGGTATGGATCTCAACATTGCAGAAATCATACTACACACATTCATGTAAATATTTGCATTAAGCTGTGCTGTTTCAGAGAAATAGTTGGATGTTTTAATTAATATCTAATAAACATATAACATATCTTAATTTACATATAGAATTAAAAAATAGAATTGTAATTTGTATTTACTTATACAGTACCTATGTCACTGTATACTTTAAGTTACTTAATTACCTGTTGTTTTAATTTTTGGCACAATTAAGTCATTTATTTAGTATGTGAGAAACCTCTCAAGAGATGATTCTTACAGGGAGGTTCATTCTGAGAAGGTTGAAAGAATGTTTGAATCAAAATGTCTGAACTTTAAAAATACACTCCAGGTGTATCGACAGTTGTCTTCAGGAGAAGCTCTGAGATGCCACCTTGGTTGAAAAGAGCAGAAATGCTTTGTCCTGGAAGGGTGTCCTCTATACAGCAACACCTCATCGAACCCCAAATGGACAGACCTTCCTGAAGACCCACCAATCAAATGACCGATCCACCAACCCAACCATTGCCATTAAGTTGACTCCTACCCAGCACAACCTAATTGGATAGACCAGAACTGCTCCATAGATCTTCCACGTTTGTAAATCTTTATGGATGGAAATGGCTACCCCGTCATCCTTTGGAGTAGATCCAACAAATAACTCATGGCCACATTCTGTTCCTCCCAAGGAACTGGACCAGGAGGCACCAGCCAAGCTGCTCCTGAGCTACTGCAGACCAGGAACAAATTTTGTGGCCTCTCCTCCAGGCTGGCTCAGTGATGAAAGAAGAGGAAGTGGAAAGGAAAGTAACAAACACGTCTATACTACCTCTCACCTCCCCACTCAACTGCTGTAGGGAGCCCCGAGTCAAGTGGGGCTCATAGTGACCCTCCAGAGCAGAGGCCAACTGCCCCGTTCCGAGGGTCTCTGGGGCTGTCATCTTTGCAGGAGCCGGTCGTCAGGTGTCTTCTCCTGAGGGGTTCGGATCACCCATCTTTTGCTTAGTGGCCAACTGCTCAGCCACTGTGTGCTGGGCGCCTGACAAGAAATGACATACTCTTGCGATTTCCCCAATAATTCCTGTATCCCTATCCCAAGTGAGAATTATTCTAGAGAAACTTAGCAGGCTAACCTAACCCCTTGAAATGAAATGTGTCTTTGTGGTAAAAATGATTATATATACTTTTAATGTATACACAAACACACCCACATACACCCACACACGATTTGTTCACTATGGCAGATTAACAGCAAGCACCTAGTTCATGGAATCTGGTTCTCTGTTGAATCACTAAATGCGGTCTGAAGTACAAAGCCCCAAGTCTACTTACCATTTGTATAAGGGTTGACGGTCTTTTTATTTGTCATGACACGAGCTGTGGCATTATTTACCTATGTATACAGAAAACTCAAATGAGCAAGTATTCCAGGGCCAGTCCACAAAACAATTAATTGCATGCATTATGACTGTGATCACTTATTATTTTTTTAAAAGAAAAACAACAACAACAACAAAACAGTAACAACAACAAAAAACTAAAATGCATTTTTAATTTATAAAAGGCAGTAAAGTAGGTGCATAACCAAAAAAAAAATTAAACAAACAACCATACATCTTGGTAATTACATTTACGTCATCACCATTTAAACTTACAGATCATTTCAATAAGGCAATGTCATATCATTTAAACATTTAATAGAGAGACAGGGAAAGCAAATAAAAAAGAACTGCATCGTTGAAGATTTAAAATGCATGCGTGTACTCCGTGGGAACACAGAAACAAGTAAAAGAAAGAGGTGTGTTTTTTTTTTTTAACATAAAATAAAGTTCATATGAAGGAGCATGCAGTGGAGAAGAAGAGGGGAGAGACAAGGTATGAGGGAAGGTCAAAGTCAGGAAAATAATTCAACGAAGAACAGAAAATGGACAAAGTTGTAGCCGAGTGCATCACTGTTAGGACACAGAGTCACCGGGAAGCAACATCTAGCATTCAACACGTGGCAGGGGAGCCTTTTCACATGGCAGGATTAACAAAAACCATTCAAGCTTTAAAAGTCACAGCTAACGAAGGATCAAAGAGAGGGTGCATTGTTGGACACGATATGGAGTCAACCATCTGAGTAAGATGTGAACTGGTCATTTCCCAACCCAGTCCAGAGCCTCCCAGACTACTAGCTAAAATGTACACTGAGTTACAGGCGTACCGATATCCAAAAAAATAGAGCATCAAAAGAACGGAATACAACAGTCAAAAAAATTCACGTGGTAGATATAGAGAGATATATGTATAGAGATCTATCAGCACTAGAATACGTGAAACGGCAGATGGTCCAGTTGCCACTTACCATTCACCGCCATCGCCAGCATGGGTTTGTATACAGTTACCATGGTTACTGAGAGTTTGGTGAGGGGCCTAAGCGTTATCGCCGGAAGGGGGGAAAATGAAAGGCAAAATATGCAACATCTTACTCCAAAGACTCAAAAAAAAAAGCATCTTTAACTGGTAAAGTTCTGTTTTTCTTTTCTTTTTAAGTCTTAACAAATATGACCCTGTGGCAGGGTTGAAGGCGATCCTGTAGTAGAATTGACTTTTGAGTACTGGCATTTTGTTTTTTATTGCTTTTTGATGGCATGGAGGAGGAAGGGGGTGGCCAGATATCGAACAGGAAATCCTGCTTGGTGATTCGCTTTATAACCACCACAAATAAAATGATTCAAACAGGCTTTGAAAGAAAAAAAAAAAAAGGTGAGGGATTTTAATAAAAAACATTTCCTTTTTTTTTTTTTTAAATAAATCCTTTCACCAATGTTTAGTCTTGTGATTGGGTTTAATTGGCTAAACACTACGGATCCCTCCTCAACCCTGTAGTGGAAAAGAAAAATAATAAATAAATAAACAGAACCCCCAAATCCAAACAAACCAACCAACAAACCAACCAAAATCGCTCTTGTATTTCATCTGATGACTGTTCCACACCTACTGCACCCGTTGGATATAAAACGTGGAAAATTAAAGAAAACCAAAATAATCATAAGAGGAAAAAGAAAGACAGCTCCCCGAGGAATCATTGGTAGGGTCTCCCTTACTTGCCATCCACCTTTTAGCAGTCGTAAGAGTAAAATAAATGAAAATTAAAGGAACTAAAAAAATGTTTGTTTTCAAGTCAGGCCAGTAGTCCTTTTTTTACAAAAAAAATATATATATATAAGTCGATCGGTATATATAAATATATATATAAACGATGAGAAGGGGGTAGGGTCACATACAAGACACCAGTGACACATCTAAAACAGCGAATGAGCGTGAAGCAGACATTGATCGAAAAAAGATGAAAAGGAAAATATTTTGAACATGCACCTCGATTTTACGGCCCTCAACCACGGTGCCGTGTAATCTCTCCCTCGCCCTGTCGGCATCCGTGCTAGTCTCGAAAGTTACGAAACCAAATCCCTGCATGCAGGAGGGAGAAGGGGAGACAACATGCAGATTAATATTTCCAAGTCCATGACCACTTTGCAACGTTCTCTCGCTTTAATTGCTACTTCTTGTCCTGGTTTCAGTTCTGTAACATGCAAATTAGAGAAATTATAAGAGTACTAAGATGTGCAATCAGTAAGCAATACATATGAACGAGGCTTTTCTTTTCGGTTTCCTTTCTTTCTTCCCCTCCCCACCCCCTTTTGTCTTTCTCCTCTGTCACCCGTTAGCTGTCACCCCTGAGGAGTTCCAAGAAGGGTACTGAAAATACCACCTTTCTAAATGTGACTGACAGAAGGAAATAAATCTAACGAAAAGAAAATGAGATTAAAATAAATGTACAGTGTCTTCACAGAGAATAAAAATGAGATAACGAGGGGAGGGGGAGAGGGGGCACCACTTTCGTAACATGCAACTTAAAGAAAGAAAGTCAAATTAAAGAAACGTGTGCACAGAATTCAACAATGAATGCCAAAACCCTCTACCATCTCCTGCAGAGACATGCCGTGGGTTCATAATAACATCTCTTCTTCATGCAATTTGAGGGTGGTTCAAATTGGTCCATTCTACAGCCTTTACGTCTCAAAAATCAAAATCAAAAGCCTAAAAAAAAAACAAAAAAGAAAACGAAAAACAAAAAAGAACGCAAACTAAAAAAGGAAAGACCTTTTGTGTTTGTAAAACACACCTTAAACTCTTTGATCTAAAAAACCGAACGGGGAGGGAAAAAAACACATGAAATGAATAGAAATAAATGCTAGTTGATTAATAATAATGCAAACAGTTCAAGTAACTTTTCTGTATGATTTAGCCCCCCCTCCCTGCCCTCCCCGCCCCATAACATACATGCCTCTACATTCATAAATGCTTGCTGCCCTTATTAACCAAAACGTTCTAAGAGGCTACACTGGCATTTAATTAGTTCCAGCAACAGGTAGAAAAATAAAGTTCTTCTGTGAGTAGAATGTCATTAAACATAGCACTGACTCTTTCACTGATCGGGGACAAATACACTCTTGTTCCTTCACTAGGGGAACTGTTTGCTTTAACCAGAGTATACCAGCCTCTGAAGATGAACCCAGCTAAGCTTCATACTGTCAAAAGTCCCCCCCCCCTCTCTCTTTCTCTCTCTCTCTCTCTGACTGACATGGTCCCTAAAAAGAGTACAGAAGATATAACATTGTATTTAACACCCTTACAATATTTGCACGTCTTTGTCAGACACATACACCAACCTTTTGCAAGGACTCCAGTGTGAATTTGCCTGGCTCCTCCTGGTTTTCATAGTGCCAATGGGGATACTACTTTGGGGATCCTTGTATCCACGTGGGTAAACTTGATATGAACTTTAAATTAAGCTGACTCGGGGCAGCTTACTAGTGTTATGAGTAAAACGGACAATGATTCCAAGTAACTCACAATCTCCACCAATAGCATGCCAGGTTGGTTTAGTGATGCCAATGTGAACAATGCTTGGGGAGAGGGTGCTGCAGGAGTCTGGCAAAGAGGGACATTCACAATCGTGACAATGGACCTATCCATCCCATCGGGCATGATTTTATAGGGACCAATTCAGTGACATTGCTTGGAAGGGTTATCCTGCATAACCACTTCACATTATCCAGTAGTGAAGACCTGCAGTTAGGCTGAGACCTGAATTATGTTACTGAGAAGATATTCTACTGTCTGACTGCAGGGTCCTACTGAGCCTTGAACATCACAGTATGCTCATATTAGAGTAGAACAGGGCACTCTGGGGTCAATTCCAACTCAAAGCAATCCAATGAGCAGAAGTGGGCTCCGTGGGAGTCTCCATGCCTGGTTTCGTGGGAGAAGATCAATAAGACTTTCCTCATAGGAATCTGAATGAAGCGAGCATCCAATCTATTGGTGAGAGCCAAGCACGCTAACCATTTGCATTGTTCGCTCAGAGGGCCCCCATGTTAGGTGCTCACCATATTTACTACCTGAGTCGTTTCGAAAGAGCACCTCGTCAATGAGCAAAAGATAGAGTTTGGGGAATTTCACTCTGTTTGGTAGCTCTAATTCTTGATCAATGGGTTCTCAACGTAGAAGCAGATGAGAAGGAGCTGTGGAGTTTATTAAACATTTAGATTCTTGGACCAGAGCCCGGATTTACTGAGTCAGAATCTCAGCATCAAGTCCAGAAATTGGTTTGCTTACAAATCTTGCCGTCTCCATAACCGTCACCTGTTAGCTGTTGCTAAATGCCACTGAGTCGGTTCATCTGACAGCCCGGGCCTGTGCCATCCTCGCAATCTCTGTGCTGCCCCTGGGTCCATCGTGGCAGCCCCTGGGTCCATCTATCTCATTGAGAGTCTTCCTCTGGGTTCACTGGCCTTCTGCTTTACCGAGAATGCTGTCCTTCTCCGGGGACTGGTCTATCCTGATGACATGTCGGAAGTACTGGAGATGAAGTTTCATCATCTTGGCCTCTAAGGAACAACACCCTTGGGTGTCCTGCTTCCAAGACCCACTTGATCATTCTTCTGGAAACCCATAGACTATACAACAGTCTTGGCTAACTCCATAATTCAAAGGCATCAAGTCTTCTTCGGTTGTACTTATGCCTGTGCATGCGTTGGCGTATGCATACATGTACACGCACGCAAATCCAGATAGCCACCCTCATGGAGCGCTGAGTTATGGGTATGAGCATGAGAGGACTGTTCCCATCCAGAGTGGTCAGAGGTTTGTCCCTAGCTCTTAAAGAACCACCTATTTCTCTCCACTTCCCTGACACCCAATGATGGAGACGAGGCCACCTAACAGGTTCAGGTTTGTCAGCCTTTAAAAAGAAGCTGTCTCTTTAAAGAGGGTCTTTTCCCAGAAGGGGTCACATCAAGTATGACAAATATCCCAGTGTGATGGAGCCACTGGCCCCATTTAGTGTCTCCCAGTTGGACAGCCTCGATGTCATGGTGGACACTCACTAGCCATCAGCTCCTATGCCTGAAAGACAGATTCTTTGGGAGAGGACAGACCCACAGCAAAAGGCTCTTTTTGATGCTTCTTCGTGCCTCAAGAAAGAAAGAAAGACACTTAACAAAGTCAGGCTCTCCACGTGGCAAAGTGAAATGATCTTGTTTCTGAAGGCCCCAGAGACAGGCTAATCATGGGAGTGAAGGAAAGCTTCTTAAAAATAGCACAGCCATTGTACTTCCAAAATAGCAAGCGATAGTCTTCTCTTGTCCCCAAACAGCTCTCAGAAGGAATGAAAGAACTTTATCAAACTGGCAAAAGTTACAAAACAGAATGTAAATTAAATAGAAATAAACACACACACACACACACACACACACGAAGGACATCTTTAAAGGCATCTGACTTTTTAAAGACAGATGCTGGGTTAGAAGAAAATTCACCAACTTTCTGGGTCATCTTCACCAACTTAATTCATTTATTTATTTAGTGGCCACACTAAATCCATCAGGCCTGAATGAAAAAGATGAGGCCGGCCACCTTTTCTCCCCAACATGCACTTTGCAGGATACAAGTCATCTTTTCCAAAAAGGAGCTGAAAAAGAGTTTACCTCCCTCTACCCCATCCACCCAAGTCCAGAGGTCAAGCTATTGACATATTCCGAGGCCGACCAGGTAGACCTGAACCAGCTGAACCAGAGGTTGTGATGGATTGTTGATTAGAACTCATCTGGCCAAGTGCAGGAGCATCATGGTCATGGAAGAGAGATTATGGGGACTGGGCTCCCCCAGTTTGATCACCAGGGTCCCGTTCAGTTCATACGAGAGCAACTCTACCTCTAGACGAGGCAGCGTAATACTAAAGAAGGAGACACACACACTGCGCCTCCAGAGGGAGGAGGTGGCTGCTGTGCCCAAGAGAGCTGAGCCCGAGAGCCGCCTCAGACCAAAACTTTCGCTGAGTATTCTTCTCAGATAACCACTTCCACAAAACTGGGGGTTCTCCGTGCCAGGAGAGGGATGGAGCTACCCTGGATCTCTCTGCTAGAATCTGCTGGGTTCTCAGCAACCTCGTTCAAAACTCCAGGATGCCTGCAGGGAAGTCCCAGTTCCCGGCCCTCTGGGGAGTGGAGAACCTATCTCATCCAGAGCCGCTGTTCTTCTTCTTTTTGAAATTGCAAGCATTCCTTTTCCAGGTGCAAAGGTCAATATCGACAAGTGTCCCTGCGGTGTGGTGGGTCAGGCACGGGATTGTGAGCCACAAGATTGGAGGGTCGCACCCACGAGCTGCTCCATGGGAGAACTGCCTCGTCCTGGAAACACTGACAGTCTTGGAACCCGAGGGAGCAGCTCTCCTCTGTCCTGCAGGGTCGCTGTTAGTTGTAAGAAGCCCAATGACAAAGCGCAGTGGAAGGATCAGATCCAGGTCCTTGGGTGGCACAGATAGCTGAGCGCTTGCCTGTGAACTACCAGCGTGGTGGCTTGAACCTCTCCAGAGGTGCATTGGAAGAATGGCCTGACACTCAATTCCCTGTGAGTCACAGCCAGGAGAGCCGTGAAGCATAGGCCATGCTCTACCACAGGCTCACTTGACTCAAAGTCAAGGCAACAGCAGTGGGGGACGGTCCGTAGTCACATCCCTACCCATTAAAAGACAACAACAAAATGGCATCTACTCAAAGCGCTGTTTTCAAAAGAACGAAAGAAAGGAATCCATTGGGAACATGAATCCATACCAACTTTCCAATGAAAGGAGTCGTGCCATTTTCTTCTTCTGTAACTTTTAATTAAAGGACTATGTGCTGCTCCTCTCTCTGTCCCTGGCTGGCGGAGCTCACGCAATCGCTGTCTCAGGAGGGAGATGGGTGGCCGCGCAAAATCAGCTCCTTGCCCTTTGTCTCCGAGCTGTTTTTATCGGAAACCTGGTTTGGAGCGGTGTGACGTCAAGTGGAGCTCCTTTAAGTTCCACAGAGAGAGGTTTCGCTACGGTTTGTTGGGGTTCTTGTTTAAGAGATGAAACTTGTGACGCGAGGAGTTCTTGGAACCCAACAGCGCAGTCACCCTTTTCTGCCGAAAAGCCGGTAGCTGGGCACACATCGTTTGCTGGACTTCAGCTTCACACCCAGACCGCCTCTCAGGATTCATCCCTGCATCACCCGCAGCAACGGAGAAGCCCGAGGCACGGGTTGTCCTGTAGGAAGAGTTCTGACTCTGGTTCTCCACCTTCTTAATTCCGCGACCCTTTCACACAGTTCCCAAGCATAAAATCGTTTTCATTACTACTTCATAACTGGCATGTTGCTACTGTTATGAATCGGCAACCCCAAAGGGGTCGCCAGGCACAGGTTGAGAACCGCTGCTCTAGGAGTTTGGGCAGACAGGGGCCATGCAGCAGAAGCAAAGGGACCAGAAGCGAAGACGCAGGAAAGCTCCTGCTGTAGACGGATGGTTTTGCTGCTGCGTCCTGGCTTTTGTATTTGTCCATCCTCAAGGGCAGGTCTGTGGTGATGATGCTGACTGGCGGTGTGTGAATGGGGCAGGGTGGTTCAGGACCCAATCTCTTACAATGCATAAAGAGAGCCCACTATGCAGATTAGTGAAGGGGGAAGCGCAAAGCCAAGGAGCCAGGGAGCAGAAGACGGAGACACCAGGACTTTGTCCCAGAGCCGGCAGAGAGAGAGAGACCACCCCTTGGGGAAGTGTCCTGAATACGTGGTCTTTCGTGAGCAGTGAAAAAATAAATTTTGTTTGCAAGAGCTACCTTCTTGTGGTCTGCCTGCCCTAGCTAACTGGGCACAGGGCTCCTTAACCTTCAGCAGGGAAAGAAAAGCTTAGACTTTGGTGACTCCAGGAGACCACGATGTATATCATTATAAAAACAAGTCTGCAAGGCGTAATTAGGGGCTCAGTTAGTCAGTCAGTTGCCTGGTGGCTGATTCTGAAGTTGGGCACGCCCACACGGTACAGAGTAGACTTTTCCATTGGATTTCCAAGGCTGTGCCCTGGTGGTGTAGTGGTCAGCAGTTCTCAACCATCAGCTGCTCCTTGGGAGAAAGATGAGGCTTTCTACTCTTATAAAGAGCTCTAGTCTCGGACACCCACAGGGTGGCTTTGAGTCGGTATTGACTTGATGGCAGGGGCTTGTCTTTTCTCTGACCGTTCAGAAGCAGAACTCAAGGCCAACCTTCTGAGGCTCCTTTGGGTGGGTTTGAGCCACCAACCTGTTGGGTGGTAGTCAAGCGCTTAACCACTGGGACCACCAGGGAAGGCCTGTTGGAACAGAGTGCTGGGCTTCCTGGGTCCTAGTCTCTCTCTTGTTCTTCTGGGGCCTGATATTTGCCATTTCTAATAAGCTTCCCAACGGGTGCATCCTGCTGATTCGGGGGTCACTAGGGTCACCAAGGATGGAGACTCTGGGGGTGGCTTGGCTGTTTTGTTTTGTGTTTTATTTGTTTGTTTGCTTCCACCCCCTCCCTGTTTAGTGCTCCGTGAAAAATACTGGAAGCTCTCCATCAAGGATCTCTCCCACTTTGTAGACACTGTCCTTTGAAGACAAGTCCACTTATGCAGAGACTGTCTACGGGGGGAAACAACACCCCTAACCCATTCCAGAAATAAACCAGGAGATAAACGAAAGCCAGCCGGAAGCCCAGGCAAATCGCAACACTCGGACTGGTCCCTCCTCACTGGTGAATAAGAATTCGTGCGGAAGGTTGGTGTATATGAGATTCTCCCCGCCCAGCCCCCGCTTCCACCGGAAACCCAGGAAAAGAACTGCACTTTGTTAACATGGAATGATCACATATTTACCTGCTCGTGAGATTAGCAACTCACTTTTTTTTTTAATATAAAGAACATAATTAGCACTGAAAAACAAAAATGTTGCAACGTCATCATTACCGTCATCATCATGATTACTATCTATTGTTTTTAAAACCACAGGTTATTTTCCTCTGGGAGCGTGAGAGATAGGATGTCTGTGATGAAGGTTAAAGGAGCCCCTTGTGCACTTCCCACCATTTTGGAAATGGGGAGCAGGGGAGGGGTTCCCGACCAAAGCTCTCCCAGGGGGTCTCTTTTCCCGGTCAGCCTACTGAAAGAGTGCAGTTGTTTCCCCCGATTCATCAACAAGCACCGTCATCAAGGCAGTGACACACCCCAAAGTGGAGTAAATTGCTTACCTTGGAGCCTCGCTCATTAAAAATAATTTCAACATCTAAGATTTTACCAAATTGCTGCAAAGAAACAGAAATATTTCATGAGCGCGCGAGGGAGACAGCATGCACCCAGATGCACATTGGTCATCACCCCCCCACCCCCACCCCACCCCGGGGAGAAAGGCTTTGCTTTGTCCTGGTTGGTGCCATGGGTACGCTTCGTGCATTGTTCTGTTAAGGGACATGCTTGACCAGGAGATGATGGCAAATGTATGACGTTCCCCATCGGGGGAAGTCTCGGAGTACGGGACCAGTGTGGACGCGGGCCTTCTCCTTTCTTTGCATGGGCATTATGGCTTTTCCAGGCACTAAGCAGCAAGGATAAACAATGGCCACTCTGCAGCCTAATTGTTCTAGACCCACCCTGTAACCCCTGGGGAAAATACCACCCTAATGAAGCACTTTTGATTATCAAATGCCCAGCTGAAGAGCATGTTGATGGGCACTGGCCTTTTTCCTCTACAAAAGTTCAGAGCACACAGAGTAGGAAAGTCAAAGGAAACAGAGAAGAGCCTGCACAGACATAGGGACCCTCACCATAGCCAACTTGGTGCCCTGCTGGCATAGTGGTTACTCCTTGGGCTACAGTGGGCTCCTCCGGAGAAAGACAAAACGTTCTACTCCTGTGAAGAGTTACAGTCTTGGAAACTGACAGGGGCAGTTCTACTCTGTCCTATAGGGTCACCATGAGTCAGAATGGACCCAGGGGTAGTGAGTTAGATTTGGTTTTGGTCTGCGTCCAGATACTCACACAGTTCTGGCCAGTTCTCAACTGCAAGGTGCTTTCTCAAGAACACAATCCAACACGCCGCCAGACTGGATGACAATGATAAGCTCGATCTGAACTGATAGAGTCTGTCCAGCATGTCAGATTTCTGACGACAATTATTTTAGGCTGGGGGTCGAAAGCTTCTATCCATACGAGCTATGGAGCCATCAGATAAGTACAGGATGCCCAGCTAAACTCAACTTTCCGATGGATTTTAAAAGGCTAAACATGTCCCATTGAATATTTTGGAGGCATGCTTATAATTTACTGTGCATATAATTTAAAATGTACACATCTTCCCTATTAATAATTTAAAATGGACCTGTATCTTCTCTTCTTATCCAAACCCCAAAGTCAACTGATGTTTTACATTTTAGTTGCTCAGTCAAGTAACAGAAGGGATCAAGGATCCATAAAGCAAAAGCAATTGGTAATTCAAAATTCTTTCCCTCTACCTGAGAATTTTTGCAGATTTCTTAGATCCTGTCCTGGATTGAATTGTAATCTGCCCTCTCCCACCCAAATATATGTCCAGAGGGCAAGGCCAAGATTCTCAGTATGTAGTAATTTTCATCCATTTTGTGATCTGATGTAATGTCTTTCGCGTTGCAAATCTGAACTGCTAGGATCTTAATGAGATCAAGGATTGCAGCCTTCAATGTGGATGACAATTTAATGTGAGGAAAACCAAAAGCCTCACAACTGGAGCCAGAGGTACCATCATGATCAATGGAGAAGAGATGGATTCCGTCTTGTTTGGACCCACAATCCACACACAGGGAAGCAGCAGGCAAGAGATCAACTGACCCACTGCACTGGGTAGCCGGCAACAGAGACCTCTGGAAAGTGTTGAAAAGCAAGGATGTTACTTTAAGGACTAAAATGCACCTGACCACGGTATCCTCAATCCCCTCATTTACATGTGAAAGTTAGACATTGAATAAGGAAGATTGAAGAAGAAGCGATGCGTTTAGATTATGGTGCTGGCAATGACTATTAAAAGTACGAGGAATGCCCAAAGAACTCAAAGGTCTGTTTTGGAAGCAGTACAGCCAGAAAGCTCTTCAGAGGCAAGAATGGTGAGACTTCTTCTCATGTACTTTGGACATGTTGTCAGGAGAGACCAGCCGCCAGAAAGGACATCATGCTTGGTAAAGCAGAGGGCAGCGGAGCCCAGGAAGACCCTGGTCGGGATGGACTGACAGTGGCTGCCACCGTGGGCTCCAGCATGAGGACAATGATGAGCAGGCGCCGACTGGACCATTTCATTGTGTTCTGGCTTGAAGGTACCTACCAACCACAAAGAAGCCAAGGGCCCTTGGGTGAAGGGCATTCTTTTTAAACTATGTAAATGAACAGGACAAAATTGTAAAAGCTGTTCTTGTGTCTTCTTCCTCTTTCAGCTGAAGCCTTTCCTCCGCCCCACTGGCTTTTGCAAAGCCCTGACTTGCTTCACTCCGCAGAGCAGTCATTTGATTCGTTCTGCTTAGAATAGTCCATCTGCACAGATGCTAGTGTATCTATTTCAGGCAGATGAGCCTGGGAGCATGTGTATATATTTTTGGACCAGACAAGCTTGGCAAAAAAAAAAAGATACCTCTTGTAAAACCTGGAAGTCAGTATCATCTCTGGAACCTTCTCTAAGAAGTCGACCCAAAACGTTCCCGTTAAAGTAAGCCCATACTGAGCGAGACCGACCGGCATGGAGCTTTGGCATGAATCCGCCCCTAAATGAAACCCTGGCACCATATGCCCTGAGACAGGCCTCAAGGGTTCGCCTCTTTGACGACTGCCGTCGCTGGCTGATTCTCCAAGCAAAGGGAAACGAGTCGCGGGAAAAACGCTGATGCGAGCGCCATTGCGAAGACAGTTGTGCACTATATTTATAGTATCAACACTTTAATTGGGAAGTTTGGCCTTAATGATGCAAACACAGCTGGCACGTCTTCAATTGGAAACAGACACGACTCACTCGCAGACATAACTCGGCGTTTGTTTGCTCCACATCCACAGCTCGGAATCCCAGCGTGAGGCATCCCAATGGCTGTATCAAGAACAGAATCCGGAAGCTTAGGGGCACATGCTTGGGCAAATATGTACCCAGCGTTTGGAGACATGCTCAATGCAAATCATTTTGCTGTGGGAAGCCATGGAGGCTGTTTAACGGCTACCGCACAAAACATGAAGGAAAAGGCGTATCACGAGGCTGAGCAGAGAGGCTAAGGACGCCACCACGCTGGCTTCTTCGGCATCTGTTTCACACTTGGAAGGAGACACAGCAGCATGCCCGAAGAAATGGCTTCAGGAGACGGAACTTCTGCATGGATGCCGGAGAAAGCCTGGGCACACCTGACCCTGTCTTGACTAACATGGTCAGGAGACCTTCATCTATGTGAACGGAAGGTCACATGACTGGGACCCTGCTATTCAAAAGAAATTTGAGTTGATCATTTTCTTCCTCGGAGGATCTAGATTTGGGCAGCAGGCAGGAAGCTGTTACATGCACAATGGTGCCACGCACAGCCAATTTGCAAGGCAACTCTCTCATGGACTGCCTTGTAGCTGGAGCCTCCCTACTTGCTGGGAGGTTGAGGGTTCAGGCCTACGCTATGGTACCTTGAGAGAGGGAACTGGTGATCTCCTGGAGGTTCCCAGCCACTCGAACCATACGGAGAATGGTTACTCTGCTTGGTCCGAACCAACTGGATGGGGAGGAACAACAGGGCCTCCAGTCTAAAGCCAGAAGCATTCATCTTGGAAATACCAAGTGCCCTGAAACAGGCTGCTCAGGAGAAGGAAGTGGTGATGATCCTGGTAGAAATTCACATATGCTCATGCCACAGGCTCATCTGGAGCTCAAGGGCAGCTCAGAAGAATCCAGAGGTGAAGACAGCTCTCAAGGAGAATTCTGTGAGCCTGGCAGCAACATCTTTTCCAAGAAATGACCAGAGTTCCCGTCCCTGATGACATACAACATCTACTCCACCAGACCCCAGAAGGTGTGTCCCAAAGACTAGAGCTTCTATGTTGGCTATTGAGCTAGAAAATGCCTTGCCTAACACACGCTCCACCTTAAAAGGAGGAGGAAAGGGAATCCAAGAGGAATCAGAAAAATCGAATGACCAACTCGGAATCAACCGCTTTCCACAAAAGGGCATAAGGAATAGGGAATGGGTGATGGGAGAAAGGGACCTGTGTTTACAAAGAAGAGGCACTGGAGCCACAGATCAAAAACCACAGGACCAACATGCACAGTCACGTTAGGTATGCTGGGGTGCAAGTTCTGCCACAGAATTATTGGTGGCAGAAGTGGTTCTGAATGCCGCCATGTTGAAAGGAAAAAAATCACAAAAGGTGGTCTCTCTGCTCTTGCTGTTGCTGCTTCTTCCTCTGATCTCTGCCCTGGTTCTCAGTCCTGCCATTGTCAGGGGACAAGGGCCGAATGAACTCCCAAGAGCAGCGACAAAGCCTCATGCCCACGCGATTTGAGAAATGCCTGGTTGGGATCATAGTAATTATGATCTGAAAGAGGGGACTACGCATAATCCTCTAAATCGCAGTATGGAGAAGCCGAGATCATGTTTTTCAGGATGACCCGGGCCTCTAAACACACACATCCAGACAAGTATGTGTCTACTTGCCGGCTGCCTGGTCACTGAGAACAGACTGAAGGGCTTCATACTCCATTTCTTTGCATTTTCATTGCAAGCCATGAGGCCTGAGCTTTTGTGCCAGCAGCCCATGAATCTGCACGAGCCCTGATCAGCGTCAGGGACTGAACTCTGTGGAAGAACCTCATGCTTGGTAAAGTGAAGGGGCAGGGCAGGGAAGGAAGAGGAAGACGCTCAACGAGATGGATGGACACAGCGGCTGCAACAATGGGCTCAGGCAGAGGCACCACTGTCCGGATGGTGCAGAACTGGCAGTGTTTCGTTCTGTGGTGTATAAGGTCGCGATGGGTCAGAACCAACTCAGCAGCATCTAACGACAACAAACCCACAATCACTAGCATCCTGCACGTCTTCTGCAATGAACAGAGACCCTGCGGGTGATGCTCACGGTTCACTTTCCCGTGACTGAGTCTGTGGGGCACAAGTACCATCGTTGCACAGATGTGTGGACTTCCAGTAAAAATTGTGGCTTTGAGAATAGTGGCCAACCAAGACTTTGACCAAGACTTGGTCAAGGGGTAGGATTTGGGGGCGAGCACTTCCTCCATGGCCCCCTGTCCTATCTGGAAAGGGATAGTCCCTTGTGAGAGGGTCCTACCTTGAATGTCTGGATGCTTCTCAGACTTGGTGAACCTCACAGCGGACATCCACGAGAAGGAGCGTGCCAGGGAGGGGAGAAGTAGGGCATGTGGCTTTGAGGATGGCATCACAGACACCACAGCCAAGCTGGTCATTTAGAGGGAAAAACCCACAGCTTAGGGCCTGATGACATCCTACCTCGAGGGCTTAGAGAAAGGCGGAGGAGGGAGGCAGCTTCTCTCACTGGACATGGCCAGAAACGCATATAATTCCTCCAGCTGCCGATCATTCAAACCCTGGCCTGATGCGCACTTAACCCTGACTTCAATTTCGAACGCTCTGCTCTTTTCAAAGTCATTTTTGACCTGCAAGTGCCCGAGGGTATCTTTGGCTCAGAAGAGTTAGAGGGCTCAGCTCAAGGTTATTACCAAATGAGAGAGATAAAAGTGCAAACGTTGACCTTTTCCTCTGAAATGTCAGGATTCACGGCCGGCCCTCTAGGCCGCCTCTATGTCAGATGCACACTTGACAAACACCACGTGTGAGGAGGGAGTGAAGGGTACAGGCCCACCCACCCACCCCACCCCAAACTCCACAGCCCTGGAGGATGGAATGCGAGCTCCCCTTTTTAACAATCTTCTTTTCCCTATGGCGAATGACGCTGGCATTGTAGAGAAGAAAACGGTGTTAGCGTGGAC